GCTAGGCGGCATCTCCTCGCAGACTTCCACCCCAGGAGGGGGCGTAGATCCCCTCCAGGAGCGAGTCGTTTGGAGGGGAAGAGATTTACATGGGAAAGGTCTTGGCTCCTTCCGGGGGCCGTGGCTGCTGGCCTTTCCCCCGTCCCCCCCGCTCCGGTCTGCCCGCTGCGGCACCCCATAAACTGCCCGGAAGGTTACTTTCTGTTGTCGCGGTCCTCTTAAGGGGCGGGAGCCCCGCCTGATATATCCGCGGGTCTTCAGCCCCCGGCAGCACGGGGCTGGGCGCTTGGGGGGCCTCCGGAGGCCCCAGCTCAGCAAAAGGAACGGCATGGCCGCTGTGGCCCCCACGAGTGCACCTGATCTGTGGCTGTGTCCGGGAGCTCCGTGAGGGCGGGGGCCTCGTCTGCTCCCTCCCTGCTCGTGGGCTTCGCCCCTAGTGAGTCCCGGCCGTCCAGACGCACTAGGAGAAGCCTGGGGGACCGCCCTGCCGCCCCCAGCACGGCACCCAAATCTGGCGGTGGCGCGCAGAGTGCTGGGAGAGCCACCACTTAACCAGGGGCGTACGGGCGGCCCCAGGGGGCAGGCAATGAGTGAGAGAAATCTCAGCTCCCCAGAGCCCCGTGTTTCCTCCACTAGAGCGCCCTGCCTGCTGACTCTGCGTCCCGGGGCTCTGGGTCCAGGAGCCTTGTCTGATCCTTGTTTTTTGACACCCCCCCCCCGTCCCCACCGCGGGGCTTGGGGCGCGGGGGGCCCCTGGAGGCAGGCCCTGAACAGAAACAACGTCCGGGCTCCCGCAGCACCCCACGCTGCCTCCATTAAGGCACCCTGAATTTTTAAAGGTATTCCGTCTTGCTCCTTGGTGTACGTAAGGCCCCTCCCACCCTTATCCGGGAGCCGGGCTGCCCCTAGCATAGGCCTCGGAGGGCCAGGACCTGCCCAGAAACCAAGGCCAGGGCACCCCCCAAGTCGGGCCCGTGTGCACCCCAGCCAGCTCAGGTGACCAGGCCGGCGCCGGGCACACCTGGCGCCGTCCCCTGACCCCGCCCCGGGCCGGGCCGCACCCCGGAACGTTCTCTGGGGGAGCCAGCGCGGCAGAGCAGGGCCATGGCAGCGGCGCCTGCGGTGGGCGCCCCGCAGGGGCCCCCGCCGGGTGCACCGTCCCCACCGGCCGGCGCGCGAGGGCCGGCGTCCGGCCTGGGCCGCTGCCGGATGGCGCTACTGCTGGCCGTGGCGCTGGACGTGGCGGGCATGGCGGCGCTGCTGACCGGCGTGTTCGCGCAGCTGCAGGTGCGCGGCCGCGACTTCGGCGACCTGCTCATCTACTCGGGCGCGCTGCTTGTCTTCCTGAGCCTGCTCGGCTGGATCCTCTGGTACACCGGCAACATCGAGATCTCGCGCCAGGAGCTCGAGCGCGACTACGGCCTGCGGCCCTCGACTCTGGCCCGCCTGGCGCGCAAGCTCTCCCGCCGCTGGTCCGCGCCGGCCTCCTCCTCCTGCCCGCGCGCCGCGCCCGGCTCTCTAGGAACGCGCCGTGCCGCCCGCGCGCCCCCGCCGCCCGCTGCCGGCTCCCGCCGCGTGCGCCTGCAGCTCGCTACGCTCGAGGCCGGGCCCGGGGCGGCGGGCGCGGGCACCGAGTGAGCCCGAGGTGAGGGGTGGGGCAGCGAGTGAGGCGGCAGGGAGAGTTGGAGAGAGTTGGAGAGGCAGGGGGAGAGATGGACAGACGGGGGGAGAGATGGAGAGAAGGGGGAGAGATGGACAGACGGGGGGAGAGATGGAAAGAGATGTGGGAGTGGAAATAGAGAGAGGAGAGATGGAGAGATGGGGAGGGAGAGGGACAATGGGGACAGAAAGACAAAGGACTAGATCAAGATGAGGGAGGAGAGCAGCAGGGCCCAGAGGATGGCGCCTTGGACAGCAGGCATGAGCACAGACATGGAAGAGACCGAGCCCTTGCCCCCCAGATGAGGCCTAGAGAGCCACTACCTGCTCGCCCCCACACTTGGAGACCCCGCTCTGCACCCCAGCCCCCAGGAGCACCAGGTCCCACTTAATCCTCCCCCTGTAGCTGCGTCTCGGGGGTCACTGCTAGTACCATCCCCATCCCAGCAGAGGACATCGAGGCCCAGAAAGGTGCCACCTTTTGGCCAAGGGCACACAGCTAGGATTCTTCTAAGAGAGAGGGAAAGAGCGAGAATATACCAGGAGTGTGAGACGCAGGGAAAGCTTTGCTGCTCATTCCTTCCCTTTTCTCTCTCCTCTCTGTCTTCTATCCCATTTCCTAAACACACACTCTCCAGCTTGCACTCCTTTGCTCAAACACCTGCTGTGGCTCCCTATTGCCCTCTGATTAAATCCCTGCCACTCACTGTGGGCCCCACATGTTTCAGCCCCACATCTCCTGCCTTCTTTGCAGTTATGATGGCATCCCTCAGTCCATGGACGGCCAGGCTGTCCCACCTCAGTTGGCCTCTGTTCATGCTCTCCCCTACGGCAGGAGTGCCCTTGCTGTCCGTTACTCCACATGGAAAGCGTCCCTTGTGTCCATTAAGATCCAACGCCACTTTGCAGCCTTTCTCTGGGTCTCCATATTATCTGAGTTACCCCCGTTATTGCTTCTTATCTGTCTTGTGTCTCTGCTGGTACTGCCTCTCCTGCTGGACAGAGAGCACCCTGATGGTAATGCCTGAGTCTCTGGTGTCTTCATTCTTAGCATTGCTCTGCAACAAGTAAGCTCAGGAAGTCAGAGAAGCGTGACTGGGTCGGTGGGTGGATGCGTGGATGGACGGATGGGTTGTTTGACGGGTGGATGGACTGGCTGATGGATGAGTGGACAGACTGGTGAATGGGTGGGCAGATAGAGGGATGAATGTTCAATTGGTGGATGGATGAATTGGATATGGTAGACTGATGAATTGGTAAGATTCATCAGAATTGGGGAACGGGTGGTTTGGACAGATAGGAGGATGGTAGCTGAGAGAATGGATGGGTTAGCCAATGGGTAGATGGAGAGGAGGAGCAATGTCAACAATGGGTGAGTGACTGACTCAGTTTCTTGAATGCAAGTTCCGTAAAGGAATGAAATCCTGACATGCTAAGACCTTCTCTGTATGTGATGAATTTAACTTTTCTCCTGTGCATCCAGAATGGGACTAGTTATACACCCTTCTTCATGAGAACTGAGAAAATAGTAACTCCAATTATCAGCTGCATTCTGTAGCTCAGAGGAGGAGACGGGTTTAAGACAAGATGTATGTGTAGATGAGGAGGCATCAGCTCACACAAAATTTGGCACAGAAATTAGAACCACCCACCAGCAGTGAAAATCCTTTACCTTGCCCAAAAGTCTAACACAACTGGGCGGATCTCCTGCTGGAACCACCTGCGAGAAACGTGGGCCAAGCTGGCTGGAGTGTAGGCCCCTCTTCGAATGAAGATAGGCCTGTTCAAACCCAGGACTCCTTAGTGGGCGGGGTGAAGTGCTTCCAGCCCATGAAGGACGGAGAACTTGAATTTTAACAGAGGGACCTGAAGATTCTGGCTCGGGTCGCTCCCTTCCCCCTTCTGGGACCAAAATGAGTGGAGTAGACAGACAGAGCCACCCAGCAGAAGCCATTATGTTTTGTTTTCTTTCGCTGTGTCTGTCTGTCTCCTGTGTCTCTTTGTTTCTGTACCTGTCATTCCCTCTACATATCTTCTTCTGTCCTGACTTCCTGTCTCTCCTTCTCCAGCTTGTACCTCTGGACCCCAGTGAGGCAAATACGCTGCAGCAGATGGGGGCGTGGAGGGGTGGAGGAGCAGTTGAGCAGGTGTGTAAGTCAATGTATGAGGGACTAAAGCAGGAAGAAAGGGCTCCCTTCCCCTGCCCCTCAGGCCGCTGGGCCGGGGGCCCTGGGAATGCATGGGTCTTGGGAGGGGTCCTGCACAACCACTAACCCCACCCTTCTTCTTGCAGACGGACCCACGGACCCACCTGTCAGGACTGGACTGCGGTGTACAGTTGTGCCCACCATCATCTGGGCCACCAAGATGTCTACCTGTCCACCCCATCCTCCCCTGGATAAATGGCTCTGCCTCATAGCACTGTGTGTCTGTCTGGGAGAGGGACAATACTGGGGCCAGGCCACACCTGCAGAGGGGCCACCCATGCCCTTGGGGACCTTGAAGCCCAGCTTCACACTGGCCCTCATGGAGGGGCATGGGAGAGTGGTGCCAGGATCTTGAGTCCAGACCCAACCCTTCAGTCCAGATGCCCCTCAGCCTATGCCCCTCGGCTGGTATTGGGATCCTCCAAGAAGCAGACAGAGGGACAAATTAGACTCACAAGGTATTTATTGGGAGGAAGTACCTTTAAAAAAAAAGATTTATTTATTTATTTTAGAGGGGGAGGGGCCGAGGGAGAGGGAGAGCGAGAGACTCTCAAGCCAACTCCTGCCAAGCAAGGAGCCTGGCAGGGGGCTTGATCTCATGACCCTGAGATCATGACATGAGCCAAAATCAAGAGTCCGCCCCCGCTGAGCCACCCAGGCACCCAGGAAGGAAGTATTTATGGAGGGTACTTGGTGTGGGTGTGGCACCTGAGGAAGACAGGAGGGTTGGGCAGCACACGTCTTGTACTGCACACAAGTCCAGGAGAATTTCCACCCAGGCACTGGAGAGTATGAGGGTAATGTCGTCCACCGGAGGTGGCCCACGTCCCGCAGGGAGCCCTGCCAGGCTCAGGCATCGGTGGGAGGCATGGCACCGTGCTGGCGGAGGGGGCAGGATCCCAAGGGTCCACGGCGGAGGCTGTCCATCAGTGGTGCTCCCGCAGGAGAGCTGCAGGCCACCCCCCACTGACCCACCCCTCCCTGGTTCCAGACCCCACTCAGCCCAGAACCCCCATGATCACAGCCCAGTTCCCGGCCCCCTCGTGCGCGCACACACACACGCGGACACACACGTCCCTGCCCCGGAGCTCATGAGCCCTCTGCCCCCATGGTTCTTAGAAAAGAGACCACGCGTCTATATGCTATGTCTGTATTGAGGGGCCCCCCCAGGGGTGCCCCTAATCTTCGTCCTCTCCCGCTTCTGTTTCATCACCCCCTTCTGTCGTCCCTTCCCCTTCAGTGGCCCCTGACACATCCGTGGCTCCCTCCAGAGGAGGGGAGTTTGGCATGCTGCCAGCCGATGACTTTTTTTTGCTCGAAGTCCCCCGGTCCTTGGATAACAGAGAGACGGTCCTTGACAGGTCACATTTGCCCTTTAAGAACACTGGAAGGTGCAGCATATCACGGCGCTTGGCCCACCTGACCGGGAGGACATACACTCAGCCTTGACCGTCTGCCTGCTCCTCTGGGGGTGCGGGAGCCCACCCTCAGCCCCAACCCCACTTGCCAGAACAAGCAGATGCTGGAGATCAGGAATAGGAGGCCTCCACACGTCCAGCCCAGCGCCCACATGTGCTTTCTCCGCATAGTTTCTGGGCAAAGGAGGCAGGTTTGAGACCCAGGAGACTCAGCTGCCCCAGGGGCCCAACTTCCAGGCACTCACCATCTGGCCGCTGGTGGTAGCAGACCCCGTCACGGTAGCAGCATCGAAGACGCAGACAGAGATTGGGGTTCTCGATTGCTGCCTGGCCCCCACAGCTCTCCCGGTCCCACACATCTCCCTCACAGCCTTGGGACCAACCACAGTGGCAGCTGTGTCACAGAGTCTGACCCGAGAGCCTCAGAACCCCAGGGTCCCAAAGTCAGGCTCCGGAATTGCCTACCTAGTGCTTACTCTGTGCAGGAACCAGGAGTTCAGGCCCCCAGCCCCTCCTCCCTCAGACCCAGGAGTCCAGGCATCCAGCCCCCTCCTCCCTCAGACCCAGGGGTCCAGACCCCAGCACCCTCCTCCCTCAGACCCAGGAGTCCAGGCATCCAGCCCCCTCCTCCCTCAGACCCAGGGGTCCAGACCCCAGCCCCCTCCTCCCTCAGATCCAGGGGTCCAGACCCCAGCCCCTCCTCCCTCAGACCCAGGGGTCCAGGCCCCCAGCCCCTCCTCCCTCAGACCCAGGATCAGGCTCCCAGCCCATTCTCCCTTTGGACTCAAGAGTCTAGTCTGGGCTCCTTGTCCTTGAGGGACCCGGGTTTCATCCACTGCTCACTCCATGGATAGAAGAATCCCTGGATTCCATTCCCATCTGTGGAGAAAGAGGATTGGTGTTGAAGGGGGCAGTTATGGAGGCTGAAGAGGCTCCCTGTTCAGCTCTCTGACCCTCTCTTCAGCCCCCTCACCTACTGAGCCCTGCATCAGCAGGAAGAGGCTCAAAGCTGGGATCCCAGAGCCCACCATGTTGCCTCCCCAGACCCTTGGGGCCTCTGTGGGGACAGACCTTGAAGGCCATCACCCCAGCAACCAGCTGGGCCCCACCCACCTGCCCACCCAGCTTTCAAGGTTCTAAGTTCTGTTGCTAGGGAGCCCCCTTAGCAGTGGAGAAGGAGGATGGGGGGGGTCACACTGGCCTGGTCATGCCTGGTTGTGAAGAAGTTGCTTCCTGGGCGCCTGGGTGGCTCGGCTGGTTAAGCGGCTGCCTTCGGCTCAGGTCATGATCCTGGCGTCCCGGGATCGAGTCCCGTATCGGGCTCCCTGCTCAGCGGGGGTCTGCTTCTCCCTCTGACCCTCCCCCCTCTCATGCTCTCTCTCTCTCATTTTCTCTCTCTCAAATAAATAAATAAAATCTTTAAAAAAAAAAAAAAAGAAGTTGCTTCCTCAGCAACCAGACAGAAGGGTCCATGGGGGTGGGGGTGGGGGCCTGGGCATAAAAAGAGCCTCCTTAGCAACTTGGGCAGAAAGTGGGTGGTGGTCTAAGGCACCTTGTTCTTGCCAACCAGAGGACCCCAAGAGGTGGGGCCTGGGAGACCTTCCTGCCAAGGAATCCCTCTGCTTAGTAACCTGAAGCCTGCAGGGCAGCTCCAGGTGGCCCAGAGTCTCCTGAGACTTCGTTGCCAGGGGTCTCCCCCCTAGCAGCCAGGGGCAGGGGGGCGCTGAGGCTCACTGAGCCCCATTGTTAGGGAGGCCTCCTTAACAACCAGGTGGCCTAGGAGGACAAGGGGAAAATGGGGGGGGGGCCAGAGGCCAGAGCCTTTGCTCAGGAGTACTCCTGTCCCAAAGGCTCTCTAGGTCTCCCAGTGGAGAACGGGTCGGGAGTGTGCAAGGGGCCACGAAGATGTGAGGGCTGTGAGTGTGGCCGTGGGCAGGAAGACCTTTCTCCCTAGGCCTCGGTCTCTCCACCCACAAATGGGGAAAGGGGTCCACATGGAGGTCCTCAAGCTTCCCATTTGGTTCCCCTTAGTGGTGGAGGAGGACAGCTGGGGGGCGGGGTTGGGACCAGGATCCCTAGTTCTCTCAGGTGAACCTCTACTCAGCTTTGCAGTACAGTGAGGAGGGGGCTTTCTGGGGCAGTGTGGCTTTGGGGTCCGGACTCCTGGGTCTGAGGGAGGAGGGGCTGGGGTTTTGGACTCCTGGGTCTGAGGGAGGAGGGTCTGGGGGTCTGGACTCCTGGGC